CGGCCGTTTACATGAACCATGGCTATCTCCGCTGGAGGCAGGATGCTTTCTAAAACTTGCTTGACCAGTTCCCCATGTACCAGTTTTTTCCCCTTACTATTTATCAGGCCCCACTCTGTCCAGATCCTTCCAAAGGTATGTCCTACTCCATAGGCGTATTTGGAATCACTATATATAGTGCCTTCTTGGTCTTCTAGGAGCTTTAGGGCCTGGTTAAGAGCATATTATTCACAGGTTTGTGCTGACCAGTTGTTGGGTAATCTACCTTTTTCACATGAGGATTGTTTGCATCAATGACAGCATAGCCATTGTGTCTTTTACCATTAGTCACTTGGGATGACCCATCCACAAACAGCCTCATTCCATCATGTAGGGGAGCTTCTCAAAGGTCTGGTGTGACTTTAGTTTGATATTCTATGATACCTAACAGTTACAGTCTGATGCCACCTTATTCTCCTGTCCTTTCAATAAGAAACTGACTGGATTTAAGCAAGTATCTGTTATTAAGACCAAATCATCTTTTTCTAGTAATAGGACTTCATATTTTAATGTCCAGGAATTAGTCAACCATCTCCCAGCTCTTTGATTTCATATATGCCTGACCTGATGTGGGGTGCTCCCTACCAGGGCCCAGTCGAAGGTCAGCTTCCAACCCTCCTCTATCAGCAGGGCTGTGACAGCTACTGCTTGCACACATTCGGGCCACCTTCAAGGGACAGGATCAAGAAGCTTGGAGATAAAAACAACAGTTGCCTCTTCCCCGCCCCAGATTTGAGTGAACACCCCAAGGGCCACGCCCTGGCCTACTGTTATTAACAGATAACACATTTTCTTTAAAGATGGAAAGGCCAGGACTGGGACTGTAGCGAGAGCTTGCTTTAAATCCTCCACTGCCTTGATTTCTTCCAGGGACCATTGCAAAGGTTACTAGAAGGTTACTAGAAGTTCCTCTTCTAGTAACTTAAGATACAAAATCTTTGTTTTTTTGAGCATATGAGTCAATCCATAATCTACAGTAACCAGTTAAACCTAAAAATTTTTGGAGTTCTTTCTTTGTCTTAGGCAAGGGCAGACCCACTATTCCCAATACTCTTTCTGGGTTTATTCTCCGCTTCCCTTCACTAATTAGATGTCCTAAATATTTAACTTCTTTTTCTACAAATTGGAGTTTGTTCTTGGAGAAACAAGAACAAGCCCCTTTCCCCTAGGAAATTAAGCAACCCCCTTTCCCCTAGGAAATCAAGCAAGCTTGCGGTGGCTTCGGATACCTTGTCCCTCCTTTTCCCAGAAATTAGAAGATCATCCACATACTGTAATAACTGGGTTTCTCTGGAAGGTTGGAATTCCTCCAGGACTTTTTCTGAGACATGACCAAATAAGTCTGGGGCTTCCGTGAAACCTTTTGGCAGCACAGTCCAACAGTACTGCTGCTTTCTCCCAGTTACAGGGTTTTCCATTCAAAGGCAAAGAGGTCCCTACTCCTAGAGTCTAGGGGACGTGCCCGGAATGCGTCTTTCAGATCCACTACACCGAACCACTTATGTTAATGGGGTATTTTACTAAGAAGGGTGTAGGGGTGAGGCATCACAGGATGGTGAGTTTGTACAATTTGATTTATAGTTCTTAGATCTTGCGCTAATCTGTAGGACCCATTCGGTTTCTTTACGGGGAGAATTGGAGTGTCGTATGGTGACATGCAGAGTTCCAGTAGTCCATCTTTAATTCATTCCTCTGTTACCGCTTGGAGACCCTTTCTACCTTCAGTGGGTATGGGATATTGTTTCCTGCAAACTCTTCCTCTTTCTCCTGGATGTTTTAGTTCAATCTGTAAGGGTGTGATTTTTAATCCTCCCCGTTGCCTTCCTTAATCCACACAAGGGGATTACTTTCTTCCTCCTCTGTTAGAAGGCCCATCATTACTTTTATTTGTCCCTTCTCTATTCCTAATCCTAAACCTAATCTGACAATCAGGTCTTGACCAAGGAGGTTAGTTCCTGCTTCAGGAACATGTAAGAACAACCACTTAATTTGTTCTGATCCCAAGCTAATTAACATTTTCTTAAATATCGGAACCTGAAATCCCTCCCTCTTTACCCCGATACTGTTAACTTCTCCTTAGAGAGTTTTGCGCCCCTTGGTTGGTACATTGGGGAGAAGCAAGCCCCTCCAGTGTCGATCAAAGATGTCATTTCTTCCCCGTACGGACCACCAGGTTGTGAGAAACAAACTCACCCCTCCAAACCCAAAGAATGGACTCAGAGACCCAGAGAACAGTAGAAATTCGACTTTTAATGACGGTTTTGCAAGATTGGGTGTCTGGTGGGCAGGCACACCCAGCAGGGTTACAACAAGCCATTTATCCCCTAGCGCGCAGGTCCTGCCCACCCAGTTCCTCATAGGCTGAGTACTGTGGGGGAGTCACAGTCTTCCTGGATGTTGCCTATTGGTTGTTGGGTAGGGGCTGCAGGGTGCAGGTCCCACCCCCGCTTCCTCATAGGCTGAGTACTGTGGGGGGGGGGTCACAGCCTTCCCGGACTTCACCTATTGGTTGTTGGGTAGGGGGTGTAGGGTGCAGGTCCCACCCCTGGTTCCTCATAGGCTGAGTACTGTTGGGGTGGGGGTGGTCACAGCCTTCCCGGACTTCACCTATTGGTTGTTGGGTAGGGGCTGCAGGGTGAAGGTCCCACCCCCGCTTCCTCATAGGGTGAGTACTGTGGGGGTCACAGTCTTCCTGGATGTTGTCTGTTGGTTGTTGGGTAGGGGCTGTAGGGTGCAGGTTCCTCCCCTGCTTCCTCATAGGGTGAGTACTGTGGGGGGGTCACAGTCTTCCCGGAATTCCTAGTGGTGGGTTGGGTAGGGGCCTGCAGGGTGCAGGTCCCACTCCGGTTCCTCATAGGCTGAGTATGTGGGGGTCACAGCCTTCCTGGATGTTGGCCTTGGTTGTTGGGGTAGGGGCTGTAGGGTGCAGGTTCCTCCCCTGGTTCCTCATAGGCTGAGTACTGTGGGGAGGCGGGTCACCGCATTCCGTGGATGCTTGCCTATTGGTTGTTGGGTAGGGGGTGTAGGGTGCAGGTCCCGCCTCCGGTTCCTCATAGGCTGAGTACTGTGGGGGGGTCACAGTCTTCCTGGAGGTCGCCTATTGGTTGTTGGGCAGGGGCTGTAGGTGTTTTCTTTGGGGTTGTCCTGCTGCATTTTGTTGTGGCCCACAATGCATTGCACTCCCAGTCAGCTCAGGGGCTCTTCCAGTATTTGACTTATGACCTAAGTGGCTGGGCAGGCTGTTAAGAACAGATAAAACGAGATATTTTTAGGCCAGTAAACTTTCATCTTAGACTAAACCTCTTTGGTTCGGGTGAGGGCAACTAAGGGGTGGGGGGTGCCGAGAAGCAGGCGTTGGCTATCCAAGCAGGGGCCTAGTACATCCTGTTTCTTCTGTAGTTTGTTGACCTAAGCCGATTCAAGGCACTTTGTCTTGGAAATGGACCACTGTATACATTATTTCCTTCAACCATAACCAGCTCCAAGTCGCAGGTGGTGCCTGCATTTCCAGAGGTGCTGGGGAGGAAGAAGAGTGTTAGCTTTCTGAGGGTCCTTTTACTGGCATTGAGGACGACGTGGTTTCAAAGCTGAGCACTGGAATCAGCTTGCCCTGGGAGGGAAAGGACAGGACCAAAAAGCGTAAAGCCACTCCTGCAGAGGCCCGAGAAAGGCAGCAGGCGGAGGCATGCGCATGCTTGTATGTGGGGGTTGCATGCCCGTGTACGTGGCGGTACACACGGTGGTCTGTGATCGCCAGGCTGCTTTCTGGAGACCGAGCCAGCTGCCAGCAAGCAGTGACCCCAGCAATTTCCTCACAGGGATAAGACACTGTTTCCAATGCCTTTATGAGGAGTGTGATTTTTCCAGTCAGTGTTTCTTCAGTTGGAATCTGTCAGTGATTTGGATCAGGGACACGGTGTTGAAGGTGGAATGGGGAGGCACGGTGGCGCTCTGTGCAATATGCAGTGTGTGTTTCATAGAGAAGGCAACGTAATCACAGCAGCCAATCCACGCACTGCTCTTTAGTGCTGCCCACATTGTCCCCTCTCACAGATGAGGACACTGGAGCCCAGAGAGGTTCGGGAACTTGCTCAAGGTCACACAGCCAATAGATTTTGAAATGTAGATGTGAATCCAGGCAGTCTGGCTTCGAGATCATTGTTCTGAACAATGATCTGTTTCTACTCCCTCAGTAAATACGGATATAGATATAAATATGTATAATAATGTGAGTATAAACAACATAGCAGCACTAATGATGGTATTGTAAAAATTAGCTATTATCCTCCCACACTGTGACTGTAAAATTATATATATGTTATATGCATTTTACACAGCTAAAATCAATGTGTATACATTTCATCTTCCACCTTCCCTTATTTATAATGACTTTAAAGCATCACTGAGTTGATGTGTCGATCTGCTTCTGAAATGATGCTTGCCGAGGTTATTTTTGTGTGCTGCTGATCGTAGACAACACCACAGCAGACGTCTCTGTCCCTGTCTTTTAGTTTCCTCTTAATGACTGAGTTGGGCTGAGTCCCCCAGACCAGACATGGTTCTGGCTATTTGCTCAGTAAACAGGCGGTTTCGGGGGCTGCCAAGGGCCAGGTGCTGCGGCAGGCACTGGAGAAAGGGCCAAGATACTGAGTGTGGAGCCCCAGGATTCAGACCGTGTCACAGGCTTTGGGATAGAAACAGTGATGTGCTTGGTCAGCAACAGAGTGCCGGCTCTTCAGGAAGCCAGTCCCCGCTCGGAAGGCCGCTGGAAGGAGCTCTGGTTCTTTTCTTTCTGATTCTCGTGTTTACTGTTTACATCTTTTGAGGGTAAGAGATTGGGTTTTTGTTTTTTGACTTAGTATACGTGGTTAGTAGTTCTTTTGGAAATGGATTTTGGGTATATCATGTTTTAAAAATTAGTTGGTTGACAAAACATTCTCTGATTCTCTTTTGCACGGAAGCAATTGCATCTGCAAAGGAACTCCCTGTGTGTGATTCCTCAAGATTTCTTTCAGTTGCTGCCGAACCTGACTTGGCTGGACCTCCGGTACAACAGAATTAAGGTGCTTCCTTCTGGGATCGGAGCCCACAGGTAAGTTGTTTATGCTTCCAGATTTTAAAATCATCCTTGTCCTTTACTCTTGATTGAATTTTTATTTCGGAATAGACGCATTTAATAGTATTTTTAAATCCAGCTAAGAGGTGCGACAGTTGAATGTACCTGACATGCAGAACTCTAACTTGGGATATTTGGCGCCACAACAAATGCTGGTAGCCACAGTGTCTTTTTGCTGGGTGGCCGGTGTGATTTTTATCACAGCTGATTCCAGCTCTGACTCTCCTTGTATGAAGCTGCCTGAAAATCAGAAATACCTCTGACGAGTTAAACCAGCAACTTTGGCCAGGCGCGGTGGCTCACGCGTGTAATCCCAGCACTTTGGGAGACTGAGGTGGGCAGATCACCTGAGGTCAGGAGATCAAGACCATCCTGGCCAACATGGCAAACCCTGCCTCTAACTCAAAAATACAGACAAAATTATGCCGGGCGTGGTGGCGGGTGTTATAGTCCAACTACCTCGGGAGGCAGAGGCAGGAGAATGGCGTGAACCCAGGAGGCAGAGCTTGCCAGTAAGCGGAGATCGCACCACCGCACTCCAGCCTGGGATGACAGAGCGATTACTCCATCTCAAAAAAAAAAAAAAATATATATATATAAGATATATATATATAGAATTAGCCAGGCCATGTGGTGGGTGCCTGTAATCCCCAGCTCCTTGGGAGGCGAGGGAAGAGAAATTTGCTTGACCCAAGGAGGGCAGAGGTTGCAGGAAGCCTGAGAGTCACACCAACTGCAACCCAGTCTGGGCGAACAGAGTTAAAGTCCGTCTCAAAAAAAAATAAAAAATAAACCAGCTCCTTTGCTCCTGAGGGCTCTTGTGTAACCCACATTGGTTCTTGGCATATAATGAGAAATTCTTCTCACTTAGGAAAACTGGGAGCACCCAGCCAAGCCCCGGGTGTCCTGCCCATCCCCACCACTTCCCTTCCCAGGGTTTCCTTGCATTCCCACTTGTGGACTTGTGGGGTGTAATCCTGCCCATGGTGGAAATGCCACACCTCCTTTCCCCTCCTCAACCTGGCCCTTCCCCATCAGCCAGGAATCTACTCTCACTGTGGAGACGTCCTTCTTTCCTGAGCCTTCTGCTTCTGTGTCCACATCCCTGGCACCATGGCTTTTTCTCCTTCTGAAGCCATGATCGCCTTACCTCTTATTCTTTTCTTTTCTTTTTCTCTTTTTCTTTTTTTTTTTTTTTAGATGGAGTCTCGCTCTCTCCCCCAGGCTGGAGTGCAGTGGCGTGATCTCAGCTCACTACAACCTCTGCCTCCTGGGTTCAAGCAATTCGGAACTGGAATTACAGGTGCGCGCCACCGTGCCCTGCTAAATTTTGTATTTTTAGTAGAAACAGGGTTTTGCCATGTTGGCCAGGTTGGTCTCAAACTCCTGACCTCAAGTGATCTGCCTGCCTCGGCCTCCCAAAGTGCTGGGATGACAGGTGTGAGCCCCTACACCCGGCTGCCCGAACCTCTTTTGACCAGTGCTTCAGCCCTTCCTCTGATATGAGTGTGTCTGGGCACAGCCCTGAGGTGGGCATGTGCCTGGCAGGTGCAGGCTGGCAGGGAGGCCTATTTGGTGGGGGAAGTCTCTAAAGAGGGGCAGTGGGGCTCAGAGGCCAGGGTCTCTTTGTGAATTTTGCTTTAGAAAGGAAGTCACAGAAGGGTTTGAGTAGAGAGGGTGGCATCAGACTTGGCTTATAGTCACTCTGTGAAGAGGGGGGCTCCAGGGCAAGGGTGGGGCAGGTCACCAGCTGGGGCCACGGCAGCAGTCCATGCAGGAGGGGCAGCCTGGGCATGGCTGGCCATGGCAGGGCTTTGGTGGGACTTCAGAGCTGGTGGGATGCAGGTGGGTATGGGGCCACAAGAAGGAAAGGGGTGTCCAGGGCACCCCCAGTTCCTACATGAGGAATTGTGTCTCCCAAGAGCCATGGTGGCCTCTGTGGGACAGTAGAATAGAGGCTTGTAGGAGGCCCTTCACACCAGTTTTAAAAATGTTTTATAAGAAGTCAGTATATTTTGCCACACGTAATAGAAGAGAACCACGCATCATTCACCCTTCAGGCTCTGCGAGGAAGCTACTTACCTAATGACAAGTGGTGTCTCGAGCAGGTGGAAACACACCCGGTGCATCTGCATGGGGCTCCTGGGGACTCCGGGGTCTGCAGGGCGGATCAGATGGACCTCGAGGAGAAGAATGTCCCGGGACTCAGCTGATGCATCTGCTGAGCCCGGCCAGCTGCTCGTGTTATGGGAGCTGCATGGGAGCTAGGTACTCTCTGGGCAGTTGTCCACCCTGTCCTCACGGCCTCGGGAGGTTTCCGAGCCTGTGGCTGAGAGTGCTTTGGGAAGGATTTCTTCTTCACGTGATCATCATCTTCTGGGTTTAGAATCACTGGGTGCTATTTTGTCCACAAATCATTTTAGCCTTACACAGTTCTGGAGAGTAAGTGCTACTCAGAGGATGTAAGTGCACTAAGACCTGTTCCCATAACTACTCGTCTTTTCCCTAAAATAAGTATATAGTCCTCAAAATTTGAAAATTCTTTGATTTTGCCAAAGCTGGCTGCCTAATGTTTTTGAAGATACACTTTTATTTGTGATTTGTAACCCATGATAACATTCCAATTAGATCAGCTACAGAGCTGAGACATATTACTCAGAAATGCAAAGTGATTATGGGCTTATTAAAGCCTTAAACGTCTCGAAACATAATTAAAACAGTGACAGTGGTAGCGTGCCCCCTTCTCAGCGTCTTGGATGTGTGAGCTTGCTAGCAGAGAGAAGATGTGGGAAGCGTGGATCAGTTCATTTACCTCCTTAGGCAAACAAGTCCAACTCAGCATTTACTTTTATATATTCATTTTAAAATCAATGAAACAAAAGAATCAGTGGGTACGCTTTGAATTATTGATAGTATTTAAGGAATTAACATTTATAAATTTGTCATTTAAAGTGTTTTCAGAATATTTTAATAATATTATTACATAAGGTAGAAAAACCCGTGCTGTACTTTCAGGTTAATAGTAAACATGCACCCCCTGCAATCCCTCTTAGGCAAAACCCAACCCAGCCCCACCCAGCAGCACCTGAGTGGCCAGAACCTTTCTGCCTTGACGAAGCCCTAGTGCTGGAGAAGCCGAGGGCATGGCGCTGCCCTTGCTGCTCTCCTCAGCATCTGGAGGCCTCTGTTCACCTTCCAGAGAGCAGATGCTGTTCTTGTTGGCTGGTTTTATACGAGCAAAATTCAGAGGGAGTAAACCAAAAACAGTGAACTGAAAGAACCACATTGAAATAATCCACTTTTGTGCACTTCAAGAAAAGTTTACTTCATAAAGTTTATTCCTTAAAAACTTTAAGTAACAGCCAGGCACGGTGACTCACGCCTATAATCTCAGCACTTTGGGAGGCCGAGGTGGGCAGATCACAAGGTCAGGAGTTCAAGACCAGCCTGGCCAGCATGGTGAAACTCCATCTCTACTAAAAAAAAAAGTATAAAAAAATTAGCCGGGCATAGTGGCATGTGCCTGTAGTCCCAGCTATTTGGGAGGCTGAGGCAGGAGAATTGCTTGAACCCGGCAGGCAGAGGTTTCAGTGAGCCAAGAGCACGCCACTCCACTCCAGCCTGGGCCACAGAGTGAGACTCCATCTCACAAAAAAAAAAAAAAAAAATTCAAATAACCAGGAAAATCCAAGAAAGTAAGTAGAAAGAAAATTGTCTAAACCTTAAATAATCTGATTTTCCTGTAGGGTAATAAAAAAATTAAACATAATTTAAATGAGGGTTGGGCATGGTGGCTTATACCTATAATCCCAGCACTTTGAGAGGCTGAGGCGGGAGGATCACTTGAGTCCAGGAGTTCAAAACTGGCTTGAGCAACATAGGAATACCCTGTGTTTACAAAAAATACCAACATTAGCCAGACGTGGTGGCACACACCATTAGTCTCAGCTCAGCCAGACGTGGTGGCACACACCATTAGTCTCAGCTCAGCCAGACGTGGTGGCACACACCATTAGTCTCAGCTCAGCCAGACGTGGTGGCACACACCATTAGTCTCAGCTCAGCCAGACGTGGTGGCACACACCATTAGTCTCAGCTCAGCCAGATGTGGTGGCACACACCATTAGTCTCAGCTCAGCCAGGCGTGGTGGCACACACCTATTAGTCTCAGCTACCTGCGGGGGGCTGAGGCAGGAGGATTGCTTGAGCCCAGGAGGCAGAGGTTGCAGTGAGCAGAGGTTGCAGTGAGCCGAGATTATGTCACTGCACTCCATCCTGGGCAATAGAGTGGAGACCTTGTCTCAAAAAATAATCATAATTAACTGTGAAAACCAAGAAGCATAGTACAGTAAAAGGTACGAGATAGAGTTTAATAGAATATATGGATTTTTCTATCATTCAACTAGTAAATGTTTACATTCTTTCCTGTCTAGACAGACAGGCATCCATGAGATATTTTGGGCTGCATTTTGTAAGGATGTTACTAGGTGTTAAATGAAAGTAGGTGCCTTCCCGAAATGCTGCCTTAGCTGAGTTTCTTATGTAGAGGCTTCTCAGAGTCCCCAGTGTACGAATCATTCATCTCCAAGCAGGGCAGGATATACTGTGCAGCGGAAGTCTCTCAAGCAATTTTGGCCATAGAAAACTTTTTTCACAGAGCATCATAAAACACTGGGATTCCTCACAGCACATCTTAGGAAAGACTGGTTTACAGTGAGGTCGTAACTGGAAGGTATGAAAGCCTAAAATAGAGGTTCTGAACTGGGGGAGGTTTTGCCCCCAAGGAGACTGTCGGTAATGTCTGGAGACATTTGTGGTTGCCACACCTGGGGGTGGGTGGTACCTCTGGCATCTATTGGAGAAAGGCTGGAGGTGTACAATACCCTCCAAAGCAGGGACACCGCCACCCCTACAGACTGCCTGGTCCCGCGTGTCAGTGGAGCAGGGCTAGACCTGTGTTTGTGTTTGTTTGGCAGCAGACCACTTGTGTGTCCATGTTGTGAATTTAAGTGTATCTGTATTGAAGTTGCCCCTGAAAGAGAAGAAAAATGAAGAAACTTGATGGTATATTTTGGAGATAGTCATTTAATTCTCTGCTTTTTAAATATTTTTGTTTTGTTTTGCTTTAAAGGCATTTGAAAACTCTGCTTTTAGAAAGAAATCCTATCAAAATGTTACCTGTGGAGCTGGGTAAGTAATAAAACAATAGAAAGATGATTTTAAAATGCTATCTTTTGAACTTACCAGACCTTGTAATGGAAGTATCAGGCATGACAAAGGAGGGTAAGCTAGATATTTTTAAAATCCTTCCTACTTCTAGGACTAAGAAAACGTAGCTCTCAAGAGCTGTTGATATAGCACGTGCTGTTCGTATGGAGGTGTGACATGTGAGCCTTGTGTGAGGCACAGTCACACAGGTAAAGAAACCGAAGGCCCGGCACACACCTCTGCAGGCCCCGCGTGCTGTCTCCGCTGCATCTCGCTGGCCTTCCTGCGAAGTTTGACCCCTTACGTATGTTCCTAGGCCTCATCATGAGCACTTGTTTAGACCTCAGAATCTAAACACTCAAAACCAAAGGCATACGCTGACAGACAAATCAAACAAGCATAAACTATCACAGAAGCAAGTTTTATGACTTTAAAATAACTAGCAGAAACAGTATACATTTGTCTGACTAGTAGCCCCGGAAAAATGTCTAAAATTCTGAAGGCATTTCTATTATGAACTTGAAAAGCATTTTGGAGAACTAATTTATGAGTACTCGTTTATTGATAAGTCAGTTGCTACCATGTGGACAGTATAAAAACAGACACGTGTACACATGGTTACGTAAAAGTAAAAACATTAAGATTTTATAGCTTTGATTTTATTATTAACCATGAATCGGGTAAAACTCACCAGTTTAAAAGAACAGTTGAGGCCGGGCGCGGTGGCTCAAGCCTGTAATCCCAGCACTTTGGGAGGCCGAGACGGGCGGATCACGAGGTCAGGAGATCGAGACCATCCTGGCTAACACGGTGAAACCCCGTCTCTACTAAAAAATACAAAAAACTAGCCGGGAGCGGTGGCGGGCGCATGCAGTCCCAGCTACTCGGGAGGCTGAGGCAGGAGAATGGCATAAACCCGGGAGGCGGAGCTTGCAGTGAGCTGAGATCCGGCCACTGCACTCCAGCCTGGGCAACAGAGCGAGACTCTGTCTCAAAAAAAAAAAAAAAAAAAGAAAGAAAGAACAGAACAGTTGAGACCATGCATAGTGGCTCACACCTGTAATCTCAGCACCTTGGGGCGCCAAGGCGGGAGGATCCTCTGAAGCCAGGAGTTTGAAACCAGCCTGGGTAACACAGTGAGACCCCATCTCTACAAAAAGTAAAATAAAATAAAATTAGCCAGGTGCAGTAGTGTGTGCCTGTGTTCGTAGGTACTTAGGAGGCTGAGGGGGGAGGCTAACTTGAGCCCGGGACTTCGAGGCTGCAGTGAGCTCTGATTGCACCACTGTACTCCAACCTGGACGACAGGGTGAGACCCTCTCCCTAAAAAAACAAACAAACAAAAAAACCACAAAAGAACAGTTGGGTTAAATTGTGCCTTTGTAAATGGAACAAGTTATGGCTGGAACCCTTACACAGGTTTAGAGAAAACAGAATAACAAATTTATACCTAAAAGAACAGAGAGAATTTAAGCTTTTTAAAGAAGGAGTTTGGGTGTGTTTGAAGACTAAAAATGGATGACAAGATAATACAAAGTCACTTGCCACAGGATTTGATAAGGAAACTAATTTCATTTAGATAGGCAGCTTCTAGTTTAGTCTCTGTTTTCCAACTGGACCATGGAGCTCAGGGCAGAGCCCATTAACGGACAGGGCCAATAAAGCATCTGCAGTTTTTAGATCCTAATACTTACCCTATGTGGAAAGCAAGCTCAACTGAAAGGCAGAACAAATACCCCAAATCTAAGCATCCGTCTTTCACACTGAACCCTGGCTCCCCCAAACTGGGAAACTCCACAGGACTAGGGCCCCTGCAGTGCTTCCCCAGTGCTCCTCATTCCAAGGACTTCACCCTGAGCCTGGGGAGTGACCCAGCCCCCATCAGCCCACTGCCCACCATGGGAGCCTTATCTCTCAGTGGCCATCATTTCCACAGCCTCCAAGTGTTCAAATAATTTCCATTTTTAGTGACATTTCACATTTGTGGAGCCCTTGTATTTTGTTTTCTTCTAATTAAACATGATTTTCTTCATTCGCTTGAACATATTTAAATGGCTACTTTGAAGTCTTTGTTAAACCCAACATCTGGGCCTCCTCGAAGACAGTTTCCATTGTCTGCTCTTTTCCTGCGTGTAGGGTACCTTTTCCTTTTCTTTGCATGTCTTGTAGTTTTATGTTGAAAATGGGCATTTTAGATAATATAGCAACTTCGTATTCTGAATTTTACAGAATTGTGACGGTGGTTGTGGCTGCTTCTGTTTGTTTGATTTTATTTATTTGTTTTTTGGTAACTATCCTGGTCTTAATTTGTAGAATCTGTCTCCTGCAGAGTTACCTTTAAAGCAGATCTTAGACTCTGTTAACATCATTGTACCCCAAATACTGAGTAGAATCATATTTTAAAATGTGAAAAGTTACTATTATTTGTTCCTCATTTTCATTTCAAGAATGGTATATAAAATGCTGGCAGTTTTTTTTTCTCCACTGCAGGGAGTGTAACCACGCTGAAAGCACTGAACTTAAGACACTGCCCTCTGGAATTCCCTCCGCAGCTCATTGTGCAGAAGGGATTGGTGGCTATCCAGCACTTCCTGCGGACGTGGGCAGTAGAACACTCTCTCCCCAGAAACCCAGCTTCTCAAGGTTCGTAGGAGGTGATTTACGACAAATCACATTAACGTTGAAGTTACAGCTTTTTAAAATCAGGTTAGAACCTGTCTTCTCTTTAGTAACATCCTGAGACGTACAGGAGCCATGTGTCCTCTGCTGAGTTGGCACAGTGTACACTGATCTCAGGCCGACCCAGTCATCTCTGTGTCTTTTCCTTGGTTCTGTAAATCTGGGCACATTATGGATCCTGTCTTGAGTGGATTTTGGTAGAATTTTATTGTGATCGATCAAATGAAACAGTTATCACCTCCAAGCCACCCACAGGCAGCTGCTTCAGGAATGACTCGATGCTCCATTAGACACTCGACGCTCCATTAGACAGTGATTTTAAAATAAGCACAATGGAATAGTCCTCCTTCCTAACGAGGTACAAGGAAATTGGCAGGAAAATGGCCCTGTAGACACGTTTTATCTAATCACCTCGTCGGTGGGTGCTCACTAACCTGTTCCATTCTTTCAACATACTGACCAGCCAGGTATTTTCAGATGCTCATGATGTGTTCTGGTCTTTATGCATTGTAGTTACACTTGGAAAAAGCAACGTTAAATGGTGATAAAGGAGAATCATAATGAAGGCTCGCCAAAAAAGTGCATATTCTGAAATATTTTCAGAATATTTAAAATTTTACTATTTGTGATGTACTTTGATACTTAAGAAAAATGCGTATGTTTGGAACAATTAGCCGAGATAATTATATATATGTTGTAATTGAATTGTGTAAATAATTAGGTCTTTGTAAATAACTGACCTTGCACTTTTGACCCAGATGGCCTCTATTTGGAAATTATTTTAAATGATTAAGAATCAGCAGTTGGCCCTGTGCTTGCTGAGTTGTTTGTAAACATATTTTAACCAGGTTGTAGTGTCCTCCGTTGGTGCATCGCACTGAAGCCGCCTGGCTCTGGCACCCTTGACCCTGACGCTGCCAAGATGTTGTGATAAGAATAGAAAAAGAAAATTAGCCGCTGGACTGGAAGTGTGGAGGGCACTGGGCACCTGGCAGGAGTGGGGACAGGTAGCTGAGGGCATGGGGTGGCAGAGGAGAGGTAGGACCAGGACCTGGAGACAGCCGGGACAAGGATGGAGGGGCAGAACCATCAGGCACAGCCGGAGCCAGGACGTAGGGGGCTCAGGGGACACAGGCTCCACTGGAGGATCAGGATAAAAAAGAGAAGTTGAAGGTTCATTCTGATTGAAGGAGACTAAAGGAATAGGAAACTGGATGTGATGCTTCATCCTAAATTGGATCCTGGGCCAGGACAAATATGATACAGGACATTACTGGGACAGTATGAAGGCGTGAGGAAGGCCAGCCAGTGAATGACAGAAGTCAGCGATGGGACGCTTCTGGTTGGTGAATCACTATGGTGATGTGTGAGTGTCTCCATCTGAGGGTGGAAGGGCAGGATGTCTGAAGTTATGCTTGAGTGTTTGAGGACATGCAGGAGCACCCCCAGACAGAGAGGCAGGGGCGAGCAGGCTCACGGGGGCAGACAGCCTCGGGGGCCAGGCAGCAGCGGCTGCTGAGGGAGTGCAGGGCCCACCAACTTCTCAGCAGAGTTCTTGCAACTTTTCTGTAAGTTTGAAAAAAATACATTAAGTGACTGGTCAAAAATAAATATTTTCTAACTCTTCTCTATTAGTTTTTAGGGCCACCTGGAGTGATTTTTCAGCTACTATGTACATTTTTAGCACTTTGCCCTTTCAATTACTTTAAAACCTCTTTTTGCTGGCCGGGCGCGGTGGCTCACACCTGTAATCCCAGCACTTTGGGAGGCTGAGGTGGGCGGATCGTGAGGTCGGGAGATCGAGACCATCCTGGCTAACACGGTGAAACCCCGTCTCTACTAAAAATACAAAAAATTAGCCGGGCGTGGTGGCAGGCGCCTGTAGTCCCAGCTACTCAGGAGACTGAAGCAGGAGAATGGCGTGAACCTGCGAGGCGGAGCTTGCAGTGAGCCAAGATGGTGCCACTGCACTCCAGCCTGGGTGACAGAGCGAGATTCCATCTTTAAAAAAAAAAAAAAGAAAAAAAAAGTCTTTTTGCTGGTATCCCATTTTTCCTGTCTGCTTACATTTTCATGAATTTCCGATTTGTCTCTGGCCCCAACCGCAGGCAGATTGTTCAAATATGCATGTTTCTAGTCACTTGTGCCCCAGGGGAAATTTTACAGCTTCTTAGGACGTTTTGAAGCATGTTTGCCCATTTTTTAAAACTTTTCCTTTCAAACTTAAGACCCTGAGCATGCAGCAGTCAGGAGCGTGTGGCAGCCAGGGGCGTGATGTCCATGCACCTGTGTCCACTGCGATGGCCACCTGGGGTCTCACTCAGCCTTCAGGTCGTGATGGGCATGTGCTGGGAGAAGACTGGCCACTAGGTCCCAGTGGCTCCCGAAGTGCCTGGAGCACCTCCCTGAAGTCATGTTTTGAGAAAGTCAACAAAAGCATCACCAAACAAGAAAAGCAGGCATAATGGGCTAAACATTACTTAGAAATAAAGATTCTAAGTGATCTGAGGGGAAGCAGAAATGTTGATTAAATGTGGTGAGATTACCCTGTGTACACATACAAAAAGTCCCTACAAAGTGGTAAGGCCTACGTGGGAAGGTCACGCGTGTCTGGCGGGGCCTGCGTGGGAGAGTCAGGTGCGCCCGGCGGGGCCTGCGTGGGAGGGTCAGGGGCGCCCGGCGGGGCCTGCGTGGGAGGGTCAGGGGCGCCCGGCGGGGCCTGCCTGGGAGGGTCCCGGTGTGCTTCTGGCAGTGTTGTTTCCATTCCCTCCGCGTGTAACTGCTTTGTGTGCCGCAGCGTAGAAGCCTAGCATGGTGCAGGTGGGGTGACAGGAATTGTTTGGATTGACAGGGAATATGGTGGCCATGGAGGATCTGGGCACCCCACCCCCCACCACCCAGGTGCTCTTCACAGAGAGGCGCCATCACTAGCTTTGAGTGAGTCATAGAGGAATGGCGTTGATGGTAGCTGCTAAAGCGATTTCTTCCTCTACCAGAGGCTCCACCGGTTAAAGAGATGACCCTCCATGACCTCCCGAGCCCAAGATTGGAGTTGTCCGGAGACCACGCGTCTAACGAAGGAGCTGTGAACGCTCAGGGCCCAGAGGGGGCTGTGATGAAAGAGAAGGCCGGCTTTCTCCCGCCTGTGGAAAAGCCAGACCTGAGTGAGCTCAGGAAGTCTGCTGACTCCTCAGAGCAGTGGCCCAGCGAGGAGGAGATCAGGCGCTTTTGGAAGCTGAGGCAGGAGATTGTTGAGCACGTGAAGGCAGACACTCTGGGAAATCAGCTCTTACCGAGGGAATTACCTCCAAATCTCAAGGCGGCCTTGAACAGCGAGAAAGAACTGCCAAAGCCAAGACACGTTTTCAGGTAAAACTTAAAAGCAACAGGGATTTTCTTGATCTTTGCAAATTCATACAATTATTTTAAATTATCTTTTAAAACATCAGGTCCAGCTTTTAAAGTGTCCCTCCACATTGCCGCTGTTTACTGTGCGGCAAGTGCTGGTCCCGGGTTTAGGGTAATGGGGACCTGCATCAAGCCCAGCGCGTCTACGTCAGAGCCCAGTCCATTCAGAAGCTGAGTTTGCCAAGGTTGAGGATGCGCCCAGGGAAAAGAAACACAAGTGACAGTAAGATCTATGGCCTGTGCTTTCTCCAGAGAGAGCTTTGAGGACGTCAGCGTTTAAAGGAGAAACAATGGGCAGCAGGGGAAGGAGGATAGAAAAGTAAAAGTGGGGGCAGGTGGTGAGCCAAGTGGTCACATTCCTGTGGGGCTTCGATCAGCGCTCACTGAATCCACATTTTACCTGTGAAAAGAGAGGAGTTGGGGGAAAGGTCAGTTATGCAGAAAATAAATGGCAGCTGCCTGGGGACAAAAGGAAGGCAGTCATTGTGCAGCCCGCTTCCCAAGCTTACCTTTCCCTTTGGCACAGTGAGTTTGGGGCCGAGATTTTATTTTCCTTTCACACCCAGGGCGAGGGTCCCTGGAGAACAGGCTCTGCAGAGGCTACATGAGAGAAACACTGAGTCATGGGTGCGGCAGGGCGTGCGCCTACACATATAGGAGGTGTGTATCTGTGGTGTGCGTGTGTGTGCCTGTGTGTGTATAAATATCTAGAGAGAATGCTGTAAAATAACAGTTGGTGAATCTAGATCATGCATTCTCGAGAGGCACATTGTCATAGCCAAGGGGACAACAATGGCTTAAGGGGGGTGCAGATTCTGGGAGGCCGTGATGGTCTGTGGGCCCTCAGGCTCCACGCAGCAGCCAGCATGGGCAGGCGCACGATGGCACCAGACCTTCCTGGAGGCGTCGGCATGGAGCGCTCACGGCCCTGATCTTTCAGCTGTCCTGTAGGTTTGAACATTCAAAACAGAACAAAACAAACCTTGGAAGCATTACTAACAAATTAAAGTGTAGGATGTCCTGGCAGCACGCACGGCAGGTTCCCAGTTTCAGTGAGGCCTCGGAGGCTCCAACACACTCGTGATGTTCTCAGTCCACACAGTTGCACGGTGAAAGGGCAGGAATACGCTGGGCCTGCTGCTTAGAATCCTCTTTTCTCCCCTCCTCCCTTCATTTATTTATTTGTTGTTAGGAACTCTAATAATAGTTAATCCAAGTGAATTGTGGTGTGCTTATTAGTAGTACTTACAATTTGATCAATACGTCAGATTTGGATACTAGACCCTAGCCTTCGGAGATTGCTTTGGGTGGCTTGGGAAGTTGGAGCAGAGAAGTGGAGCCTCTGGCAGGAAGCCTCAACCTGGAGCCCGTGCCCCATGGTTGGGTGGGCCCTGAATGTTGTCTTCCCCCTCTGCTGCCTCTGCCCAGAGTGAGCCATAGAGAGCTGCTCTGCCTCAGCTTTCCCACGGGGGTGGTTGTGATGTCACATGCATTATCAGGGCCTCAGTTTCCCCACTTGGTTGGGTTGTCATGGGGTCATAAGTATTAAGGAGAAGCTCTGAGATTATGGCCCTGGTCCACGCTCGGAATGGTGGCCCTTCCTGAGGGTCTGGGACTCGGGAAGCTGGCGCCGTTCTGTGTTCTCTGGCTGGGGAGCAGTGGGCATGGTGGGAGCAGCAGGCCCAGTCCAAGGTGATTCGCGTGGCCTGGGCCTGTTTATGAGGCTGAGTGCTCGTGTCCAAAATACTTGCAAGAAAAGTAATGTTATGTAAAAATCGTAGGTAAATAATGGTCTGGTCCTGAAATCCCACAATTATAATGGGAGGGAATAAAAGCATTCTGAAGTCATCAGACATGGAGCTGGAGTATGACGGAGCATCACTGCCCCAGCCTAATTCTGACAACATCCAGCAGGCCTTCCTCTGGGGCAGCTCCTCCACACTCCTCCGGACCCTGAGACCACAAGGGGAAACCTGGTGTTCCATAGAGCCCGGGCCACCTGCCCTTCCAAAAGCAGCAAGTTAAATAAAGGCCAGTGCCCAGCACGCAGCCCAGGTGACCCCTGTCCCATAGCACAGGCCGTGCCTGCCTTCTCTGCTCTGCTGGGACAGTCACTGCTGTTCCCATGCAGACGGGGAAGGTGAGGGTGGGAGGTCGTGCAGCGTGGGGGCGGGGGTGTGGGCCAGCCTCCTGGGACGTGGCCACCAGGCATGATGCTTGGTTGTGGCCTCCCAAGATGTGCTGCTGGTGTGAGGCTTGCACAGGGCAGGCCTGGAATGGGATGGGCCTTTCTCCTCTGGGCGAGGTGTTGGTTCTGGAGGGAAGACCAGGCAGGGCTTCCCGTTGTGTTTCTCAAGCTGCTTTGATGCAAGGGTCGTGGCAAGGAGGTGTCACGTTCTGGAACCTGGCTGGCTGTCAGTCCTGGGCTCAGAGCCCCTATCTCTGGCCTGGTTTTCCCCAGGCGTTTTCCCTGGGAGGAAACACCAGGGCACACCTATCAGCTTCCTCTCTTGGGCAGGGAGAGGGAGTCCCCAGCACCGTGAGGCCCCACGGTGTTACTGGCTGTTCCCTCTGCTGTACTGCGGGCTTCTCTCAAGCGGGACCCGGTATCTGACCCTGCCTGAATGTGTGTATGGGGGCCAGGCGCCTTCTGATGACCTTGCCTGCCTCGTCCCTGCCCCCACATCACCCAGCAGCAGGATTCCGACCTGCTGTATCGTCACCCCGTGCACCTGAACTCCAGGCATGTCACATCCTCCAGCCCGGGTGAGCTGCTGGCCAGGACCCCTGCTTCTGTGGGCATCTGTCCAGCTCAGACAGGGGGTGGCATCGGTCTCAAGCAGGTCAGGTGCAGCTGCCGAGGCTGCGTGTCCTTCAGGTGCATTTCCCAGGCTGACTGTCAAGCATCCTGGGAAAGTAGTTGGCTGGCAGTGGGCGCATTGGGACAATGTCGTGCTGCCATCCATGCATGTTCATTACATGTCCTGAAATCAACAGTCAAGACTGTGGACTCTGTGGGGTGACTGCAGCGTCTAGTTGTGGTAGTTGTTCTGATAAGCAGATGAGCCACAGGCCCTCCTTTTATATTTCACATGTTGTATGAGTTACCGTCACAGGGTTTTGTTAAACATTCGGCTAAAAATACTCTGTAATTTTAGAAGGAACATGGCCTCCTCCAGGGACATCTTACCCGACCTCTTGTCACCGTACCAAATGGCGATCCGAGCAAAAAGACTGGAAGAGAGCCGAGCGGCGGCGCTCCGAGAGCTCCGGGAGAAGCAGGCTCTGATGGAGCAGCAGAGACGGTGAGTCCACACAAGGCGGGGGTCCGCGCAGCTGGCCCAGTGCACCTGGAGCTGGGGCTGGGCTGTGATTTTATGGCAGCCCTTGTGGAAGTGTTTAGTTAGTTCTCCCCTCACTGATGCTGATCCAGGATCCGTCTCCTCCTCACCTGGAAGCCAAGCCGCACGTGCCCCTGTGGTCTGCAGCGCCGTGCATGGGCTCGCTTGTTTGCAGCCCCGAGGCCTCCGTGGGGGGCAGGCGCAGGTGCAGTGCTTGTGGTCGCCCCCTTGTGTCCGTCTTTGCCCTGGCTTCCTCACGACACCTGCCTGCTTGCTTGTCCTTTTCCCTCGTTTCTTGTTTTTCCTCAGTCCTCTCCTCCTCACTTTCCCTGGAGCGTCCCAGGCCCTGCCATAGTCATCGGGGAGGTTCATTCTTGTGTTGCTGTGACCGCCGCCAGTGCCACCACCTTGTCAGGCGTGTCGGCCAACGTGCTCAGTGTCCGCAGTGTCTTCTCTGTCCTCCAGCTCCAGGGACCACCTGGCTCCACCCATCCCTGGGCCCCAGGAGTCCGGCCGGCATGGACCGCAGCCCTAGCACCCCTGTGGCCCTCACTTGGTGGTTGGCTTTGGCCAGTGGGGGCTCCCAGCAGGAGGCCAAGGAGGAAGAGGAGAGCGAGGGCCTCGTCTTTACTTGCCCGGCTTCTCTCTGAGCTGCCTGGAGCTGGCCGAGTCCAGCCTCTCCCTCCTTCTGGGTTCCAGCAATCTCTCCTTCCCTGGTCTGTCCTGCGGATAGCTGCAGCCCGGCCCTGACTGGCACAGGGCTCCTGCACTGCCCCTGTGGCTCACCTGCTCCCTCCCCAACATGAATAAACCCTCCTGAAGCCACCCCATTGTGTGTGTGCTGTTTTCTCTTGGGACCATGTGATAGGGACCGTGTTTAGCACACAGATTCTGTGATTGTCCACAGCTGTCACCTGATGTCCAGACAGACATTGTAGTTGGTTGTCTTTTTTTCAGTAAAAATATGAGTGAGGTGAAGCCCTCCGAGCTGGTCCCCTGCCCTAGGCTGTCATATTGATGGGCAGGGATGAGGCTGACTGACTGCTCTAGGGCTGTCCTAGGACATGGGAGTGTGGTCTGGGCTGCTCCAGAAAGCCCATCACTGTGGGACCAGGTCTTGCCAGCCACAGGCCACAGCTGCCGGGGCCCAGGGAGCACTGTCAAGGCTTTCCTTTGGTGCCCATCAGTCGCCCCACACTGTCCCTCGGGGTAGCTCTACAGAGCCGGGCCCGTCCCTCACTGCGAGGTGAGCCCCTCAGGATCGGCCCTGCCTGTTGAGCATGCCAGCTGCCCTCCCCTCTGTGTGCCCCAGCAGGCACCGCCCTTCCCTGCTGCAGGCGGGTCCCACTCCTGTTCGGCTCTGCCAATTTCAGGGCACCATTTTCTGAAGTGGGCGGTCCAGATACCTGCCCTGTTGACTCCTCAGGTATCACCTGCCATGCCAGGAGGCTGCCTGTGGGAGTCCCACTCACCCGCACCCTCTTGGCCATGGCTGTGATGGAGGTGATTGTGGTGAGAACTTCCGCAGGCACAGCCCCTGCCTTAGGCTCTTGGGGCACCACCAACTGCGGTGGGCAGAAAGGGCGCTCTCACCCCCAAACATCAGGCTCGTCCCACACCTTCATGGAAGAGAAGTTCTTGGATACAAAGAGCAAGTGAACCCTCTCTTCTTTATTTTCCTGCCTGGAGCCCAGAGCCAGTGTCCTGCAGTCTCCTAGTGAGCAGCTCCGCAGGCCTGTTCGGAGGGTCCAGACCCAGCAGAGCCGGCCCCTTCACATCAACCCTGTGAACAGCGTCACCCCTTTGCATGACCAGAAGACAGTGACACTAAGTGGGGGCCCTCGTCCAGGAGCGCAGCGGGGCCAGTGCCACACTCGGTGCTGAGTGGGGACATGGGGGGCACCAACCTGGCTGGGGCTGGGGGTTGGGGCCTGGGACCCACTCAGGCAGGTGTTAGGACATGGCCTTACCTGAGGCAGCTGGTGAGACCACCTGTGCCCTGAGGTGGCACCGGGGGAGGACACGGCCAGGCTCTGATTCCTGGCAGCACCGACTCAGGATGGAGCCCTCAGCAGGAAGGTGGTCAGAGGTGGGCCATAGGCCGGGTGGAGCCTAGGAGGGCTGAGCTGCTGTGACCGCAAGGAAGGAAGAGCAGAGGTCGGGTGGAGGTGTCGGGGAAAACCCAGGCTAGGGCCCAGGCATCCAGGATGATGATGGGAGAGACAAGAGGAGGCCAGATCTGGGGGCAGGATGGAGAGGGGGTACCAACCACAGGAGTCCTGCATGCTGGAGATGTGGCCTTCCGGGGGTGGAACCCTGGGCCTCGGCGATGGCTCTTAGGGACCTGATTCCACCCCAGCCACACACGAGGCGCCCAGCCCAGCCACAGATGTGAGCGTTACTTGGGATGTTCACAGTCCTAGGCGACGAGCTGTGAGGAAGGAGCATGTGACTCTGGCTCAGGATTGGGGAGGCCTGAAGATGCCTGTTTTTGTCTTATTTTATTTTATTTTTATTTTTATTTTATTTTTTGAGACGGAATCTTGCTCTGTCACCCAGGCTGGAGTGCGGTGGCGCAATCTTGGCTCACTGCAACCTCCGCCTCCCGGGTTCCAGTGATTCTTCTGTCTCAGCCTCCCAAGTAGCTGGGACTACAGGTGCCTGCTACTACACCTGGCTAATTTTTTGTATTTTTAGTGGAGATGGGGTTTCACCGTGTTAGGCAGGATGGTATCGATCTCCTGACCTTGTGATCCACCCGCCTCGGCCAGATGCCTGTTTTTAAAAGTGAAACTCAAGTGTCTGAAGGGAGAGACTTAGAGACAAGCATTCAGATCTTCCACAGACAGACCTTATGTCGACAAGTACCTGCAGCCAGGCACCCCCACCGGTCGTGCAGTGCTTGCGGTGGCAGTCCCAGCTGGTGCCCTTACCTGAAAGGGGTCGTGATGCCTTTTCCTCGGTCACTGGGTGGGGCTGGCCCCCAGTGTCAGTCAGTGCTGGCAGCACCAACACACAGAGCTTCGGGATAGAACCCGGCATTCCCGGCTCTGCCCAGATGTGCCGGGAGGAAGAGGCTGTGGTTCAGACTCCCACCCAGGGCATGTACACCCCCAGCCTGTGCTCCCTGGAGACAGGTGCACCACAAGCTGTAAAATGACAGAGAAATCCTGTAGCCTTGGCTTAAAGCTGCCTGTAACTTATGACATTAACCTTCCCTTTCTCCAGAGAGAAAAGGGCACTGCAGGAGTGGAGAGAGCGAGCCCAGAGGATGAGGAAGAGGAAGGAAGAGCTCAGCAAACTCCTGCCTCCGAGGAGGAGCATGGTACGGCAGGCATGGGCGGCGACCGGACACTAGTCCAGTCCCGGGGGTGGGTGGGTGCTCACACGCATCCCTGTCTGTGGAGGATGAGCCCAGACCTGGGGAGGAAGCTGCTTGTGCAGGCTGCTGGCTGGTGGGGCTGGGTTGGAGTGCAGCATCCAGAACCATTGCTCACTGCCCAGCCGGAGGGGACAGCTTCCTGCCCCAGCCTTGAGGGTTTGCCTCTCGGCTCACTGACTTTTGGCTCTTGTCTGAGGAATTAGAAGCTCAGAGGGAAGGGGGAAGAGGAGATGGGGGAAAAGATTCAAAAGATAAAAAGCAGCTGAGGTTGAGGTGGGCCCTACAGAGGTCTTTCTGGCCTCCTCACCCTTGGTCTCCGGACCTCGGGGCAGGCAGTTTCCCTAGAAGCCAAGATTGCCAGCTCTCCTAAGCTATGGGACATGGGATATCCCCAGACTGTATGGGGTCTTAGTCCAGCCGGGCACAGGACAGTGGGCACAGGGCAGTGGGCACAGAGCTGCGGGCATGGGCCATGGGCACAGAGTGGTGGGAGCTGGCGGCTCCTCCCTCCAGAATGCACCTGGCTTGCTTCTCTGTCCTGTGAGCGTAGTTAGGCAAATGTGCCTTTGAATTTGGTCACAGATGTTTCTTTGGTTCTTTCTTTTAAGAAATGCTCCCTGTGTGTTACTTTGAAAGGCCAGGGGTTGCCTCTGCAGCCCCCTTAGCTGGGGTGAGGCCCCCGAAGGCTTCACCCCACAGCAGAGCACGTGGTCATGTGGGCCTGCAGGCGTGGACTGCTGGGACAGTTCAGGACTGTTTCCTTTTTTTAACTTTGTGTTGAACTAGTTTTTGACTTACAGGAAAGTTGCAAAAATAGTGTTTCCATCTCCCCCCACCCAGCTTCTCTGATGGTGACATCTGACATAACCTCAAAACAAGGCTCAGAGTTAGGAATTCACGGTGTCCAACGCGGTGGATAAACCAGGACTGCACCTCCTCACCCTTCTCAGGTCCCTGGTCCCACAGGACATTCAGTCATCATCTTTGCTGTCACCTTTTTCCTAATTTCCCCAATATGTGGAAAAGTTTAAAAATACATATTTTGCCACTTCCCAGAATAAAAATACTTGCACAATTAGACATCACTAAGAATGCTTTCAGAGCTGAATTATAGCAAAACTATGGGAAACTTAAATGCCAACAGATGGAGACGGCTAAATTGTCATGTCCAGACCATGAGCTCTCTCTGTGGCCGACAGAAGGGTGGTCAGTGACCATATCCACCAGCCTGAAAGTGTCTTGAAGAATCGTTGTAAGTGAAAACAGCACAATTTGCAGGACAGTGCACAAAAACTCACTTTGGTCTGGAAGAATGTACAGCAAACCAATGGCTGCGGAGGGGACGCAGAGGGGTCAGTGCTGCCACAGTGTGTGCGTCTGAGTCCTGTGAGCCCATCACAGCGAGAGTGTATGCAGTTTCTTAAAAAAGAAAAAAATAGGTTTTCTAGAAACTCACCCATCATGAGATAGAGCAGTTCAGTCAGCGAGTATGGATGGCCTGCTCTGAGCAGGGAAGGGCCAGGCACAGGCTCTGCCCGCGGGAGCGCACACCTCGTGCAGAGGCAGACCCTCAGCCGTGGCAGCAGGCAGAGCTCCGTGGTAGCTGGCTGCTGTTCTGCACACCCCACCAGGCCCTGGGTGAGGCAGCTGAACGCACGGAGAGGCCTGCTGCTGCCCTGTGCCGCCCTCTGGGCCTGCGCTGCCCCAAGCACTGGTGAGATACTTGGTATGGCCCGGAGTGCTGTCGGCAGAGTCCAAGGGAAAATCTTTGTGCCTAAACGTTCGTGTCTAATATACAAAGAATGGCTACTAATTGATTTTAAAAATTTGAGAATCCAGTAGAAGAAATGGGCAAAAAGTATGGCAGGCAGTCCACAGAAGAGGAAATCCAAGCTACCGTAAAGACATGAAAAGATGCTCAGTCTGCGAGGAAAACGTAGGGTGGACGTGAGGTGCAGGCGCCTGTGTGGTCGGCAGGAAGGAGCCGGGGTGGAGCAACGTGGGAAGAAGCCGGGGTGGTGGCGCAGCATGGGAAGGAGCCGGGGTGGTGGAGCAGCGTGGGAGGGAGGGGGGAGTGGAGCAGCGTGGGAGGGAGGGGGGTGGAGCAGCGTGGGAGGGAGCGGGAGGGGGGTTGGAGCAGCGTGGGAGGGAGCCGGGGAGGTGGAGCAGTGTGGCAGGGAGCGGGGGTGGCGGGGTGGAGCAGCGTGGGAGGGAGCGGGGGCGGGGTGGAGCAGCGTGGGCGGGAGCCGGGGGGATGGAGCAGCGTGGGAAGGAGCCCGGGTGGTGGAGCGTGGGAAGGAGCCGGGGTGGTGGAGCAGCGTGGGAAGGAGCCGGGGTGGTGGAGCAGCGTGGGAAGGAGCCCGGGTGGTGGAGCAGCGTGGGAAGGAGCCGGGGTGGTGGAGCGTTGGATAGGGCATGGAGGCTGCTGCCACCAGCTGCTCGGAATGCATCTTTTCAGGTTAAGAACGTGTTCTTCTTTGAACACATTTAGGAGTCCATGTTTTAGAAATAAAAGCAATCATATAAGCATGTATATACACAGATGTGTATCTGTGTATTTCAGTATTGTTGGAGAGACCAGCATAAATAAATAAAACTCCGATTTCCATGTCCGTAACAGGGAAGTGGTTCCATGCATCGGCCCGGGGGGCACAAGCTCCCAAGCTCCGGCCTCCCAGCTCCCTGCAGCTGGGCAGGAGGACACAAGAGGGCGCCACAGCCCCAGGCGGCCGCTGCTGGGTGGATCCCATTGGCCAGTGGCACCCACGGGCTGGGCTGGGCCGGGTGGGCCTGGGGTATCATGGCCACTGGCTTTGCGCCTGGTCCTGGGGTGTGCCCCCCTGCCCTGCATGTGCTTTTGCCGATCCGTCACTGTGAGGTCACACCCCGAGTACATTCGATGGGGTGGGAGCCTTGAGGCTGCAGCTGAAGAAAGGGCTGCAGAGCTAAACCCTGTGGCTGGGTAAAGCCTGGGGCGTCACCTGCTTTGTAAAAAGCACTTCGCTTCATGTCGCTCTGAAACCAGCCATGACTCGAGCCCATATTTTGGGCTTCAGATCAATTGCATGTTTGACACTCAACAGATAAACCCTGGCGCAAAGCCCATTGCATGCCACCAAAGCGGCAGCCTGTTGTAGACTTCGCCTGTGTGTTCATGTTTATATTTGCTTCTTTGCTTGCTCACTCGAGATCTGGATGTTCGAAAAAGTCTTCCTTCTCTATATTTTAGAGTAGGAGTAAAGTGCGGATGGGTGGGCTTCCCTCCAAATACATACTTTTAATGTCTTTTAAAATAAAATTAAATGTCTGATTTTAAAAGAAAAAAACACCCACTGAATTTAGCATTTATTTATTTATTTATTTTTGAGACAGGCTGGAGTGCAGTGGCGCAATCTTGGCTTACTGCAACCTCTGCCTCCCAGGTTCAAGCGATTTTCCTGCCTCAACGTCCTGAGTAGGTAGGACTACAGGCGTGCACCACCACATCTGGCTAATTTTTTGTGTTTTTAGTAGAGGCGGGGTTTCATCATGTTGGCCAGGCTGGTTTTGAACTCCTGACCTCAAGCAGTCCGCCCACCCCAGCCTCCCAAAGTGCTGGCATTACAGGCATGAGCCACTGTGCCCGGCCAGGATTTAGCATTTGTTCTTTTCTTTCTGTTGGAAGAATCTTTGGGAGAATCCTGATCACCTGAAAGTGTCCCAGCTCTCAGTCAGCCAAGAGTTTCCTCTGCTGTGTCTGCAGCCTGTGCCTTGCTTTATGGTGGGGTGGGAGGGATAGGGAAAGGTTGGTGGGTGGTCCCTGGTCCTCCCTGCCTCCCATCTTTCCACCCTTTCTGGTTGCCAAATACTTTTTAAGTGTCAGGCATGTACTAGGGTTAAGCTAATGGCCAGACAAGGGCCCAGGCCTGGAAATTCATTTAGAGGAGAGAACGGCAGAAGAGTTCCAGACATCATCTCGGTAAATGCTAAACGGATCCTACAAGTCTCCACATTGCAGTAGCCCCTGGTTGGAAGTTCTTCTCTCCCACCCTGTTGCCAGGGTTCCCTCCTACCTGTTTTTGTCATCCTACGGTTTCTGACAGTCCCAGGGAACACAACAGACACACACGTGCACACTGCACACTGCAGGCACCCACACAGGCCCAAAGCTCCCTGAGGTCCGGAGGGGTCAGCGTGGCCCTCAGGTGTGTCCACTGGAGGCAGCAGCGAGCAGCATTGGTCACACCCCCCTTGGGGTCCTGACCTCCTCCTGCCTAGGGTGCACATCACAGCGAGTGTCGGGTCCCCCCAGGCCTCCCAGGCTCTGGCACTGAAGCTGGAGAAACAGATCTGGGGCCCCTGTGGAGAGGGGCCATCTCCGGACGCCTGTAGGAAGCCAGCCACTGCAGCAAACCTGGCGTGGGGGGCAAAAGGGCATGCAGGGCAGCCTTCTGAGCAACCCCAGGTTCCCCTCACTCTGCATCTTTGCCTCCTACCCCAGCCTTTGCTGTCAGGGAGGCCCCAAAAAGATGTCCAAACCAAGATCCCAGCAGGGCACGAGAGCTAGCCAAGACCTGGGGGGATGACCGCGTTACACAGAGACCATTACCCGGGGCGACCTCGGACCCACCTCTTCATGACGAGGAGCGAGTCTAACACACCTGGCAGGTTAGCTTTGTGGGAAAACAGCATTTACTGGGATTCCAGAAATGATCTCATTGCGTTTTCCTAGGTGGCATCAAAGATTTCCTCTGCCACAGATCTGATAGATAACGGGAAAGTGCTACTGAATCCACTTAGAAAAATGAAACCAAGCAAAAAGAAATTGCCACGAGCAAGTCAAGAAATGAGGTTGGTAACTGCGACAGGGGCTCAGTCCTTCCAGGGCTCAGCCAGCCACCCACGGGCAGCTGCTGTTGTTTATTTCATGAGCATGTACTGAGGAGCCCTGAACCTCCAGGCTGTGGTGGGCTCCAGGCTGTGGTGGGCTCCAGGGAGAGCCAGGTAAGCTTGGAAGATGGGGTCCTTGCCCTCAGGGAACTGCCGTCGCCCAGCCATGGTTCCTGTAGGTCACCAGGATACAGAGTGCTGCCGAGCCCTCTGTAGTGGGTGCTGCTGTGGGCACTAAGGGGAAACGCAATCTGAGACCCACCCGCTGCAGTCCCTGCCATGCCCTCCCCACTGCACCCCCTCTACCTCCCTCGGTCTTCTCATGCTGAGTTCTGATCTCACTCCTTCCCACCCCAGCTTCCTTAGACCACCCTCAGGGCCGCTCAGCCCTTCCCCTCATGGGGTGTTGGGTGAGGCGGCGAGGCCAGGCGTTGACCCAGGTGAAGGGGACCCAGGCAAGGTAGCCACCATGCAGTGGAGGAAACAGCCAGAATCGAGAAGCTGTGTTGGGAAGCACTTGAGACATTTTGATTTTGAGTCCCTGGCCAGGGGGTGGCCAGGCTGCTGGGCAGGTTGTCGTCCCCGGGAGAGGCAGGCAACCACAGCCCCATCAGGCATCGTTGGTGGGCCACATAGGGGCCTGGAGTTCAGGAGAGCGGGGAGGGATATTTGGGAAGCCTGATGCTCACCTGGAACCAATGTGAGGGGAAGGGTAGGGGCTCAGAGACTTGCGCTTGGCAGCGGGGAATAGGGATGGATGGAGCAAATGGGGCTGAGGAGCACTGAGTGGCTCGACAAGTTCACGGGGCAGGACACAGTCCGCAGCGACTGCTGGACAGAGCAGAGTCAGGGCACAAGGCAAGGACAGAAGCTGGAGGCTGGTCCCTGGGTGGGTCCCTGTCTGGGCCTTGAGGGGAGGGGAGGGGCTCAGGGTTCCCAGGGGCTCACCCCTCTCACCTCACAGCAGCATTCCTTTCATTTTCCGCGGTCACAGCTTCTATAGCTGGGTTAGTGGCTGCGTCTTGGGGATGATCACTGGGCTTCCTAGTTGTCTGCACCTCCTCTGAGCCGTGCATGAGGACTAAGCTGACACGGAACCTCAGTGTGGACACGCCTTCTTGTCCAGGCATTTCATGCTGACTCTTCAGTTGGGCCCCTGCCTCACACCTCCCAGGCGTGCTGGGAAGCCGAGGGTGGCCTCAGGGAGACCACTGGAGACCCTGGGGCATGAGCACTGCTCTCCGGTGTCCCCATACTTCCCTGGCCGCTCTCTTCTGTCCTGCACCAGGCTCGCTGTGGCTCTCACTGAAGGCGCCTCAGTGGACTCAGAGGCCAGAGCAGAAGAGACCGTGGGGCCTGAGCTTGGAAGGGAAGGCCCCGGGCCTGGCCCCTGGCCCTGCTGCTGCTCAGCCTCCGTCTGCCAGGGGGCTCCCTACTCAGTTTACCATACCCTGGACCCCGGCTGTGGTGTAACAAGCCTGGAGAGAGGGCGAGGTGGGATGAGATGTGGGTGACAGAAGGCATGTTCTGTTCCTGCAGAATTTGTTCCTCTTGGAGACTGAGAGTATTTGGGGAAAATCTGCACGGCCAACTAGGTTGGATTAACTCCCCAGCCTTGTGAAAATGGCTTAGACTAAAACCATTTCGTCTCAAACATTTGAATGTTCTCTTCCATCCTCCAAGGAGTTTACCTGCCATCTTTGGCCTTTAAAAAGCCCACAGCAGACCACAGTGGCCCGCTAACCCCCCATCACCCTGGGGCCCAGTGAGAGCTGGAGTCTGACACACTGACACAGAGCGTGCCCTGACCTGGGGGCTCTGTTCTGTAGGACTCCAGAGGGCGTCATGCTGTCTTTTCCATAGTTATTCTGAAAAGCAAAGCAAAACCAGCACAAACCCTGCTGCTGGGAGTGGGAGGGTCTTCGAGGAGGCCCAGTGAGAGTGTGTGCCATTGTATTCACAGCGGTACGTGCACCCGCACCCGCACCCACACCCACACCCACACCACACCCACACTTGCATCTACCTCCACGCCCACACTTACATCCATGCCCACACCCTGGGGCCCCACACTCATGCAGACTGGAGTGGACCTTGCTACCCCACAGCTCACCTGCAGCAGATCCCTGGCTCTTTCTACCACCCTGAGTCATTGTCTTTAAAATTAAAGGAACCCCAAGCCCCTGAGCCCCAATAGTAACAGAGAAAACATGTTTAAAATTATAACTGAATACACTTTTCTGTTCATCTATTTAAGGATTTAGGAAAACCGTGTATTCCATGTGGGAACAAAAACCTGCTTTTCCCTTCATGTGGCGCAGTGTGCAGTATCCTAAATGTGTCATATCTTAAATCAATGTGAGGTTTTTAAATAAGAATAGTGTGTGTTCTGGCAGCTTCTGAACTACTGAAGAAGGGATGGGAGAGGCAGCCCAGGCCCCAGGCGTGAGTCTGGAGGAGAGTGGGTGCCAGGGAGGCCCAGGGTAGCTCCACAGTAACTGGCCCTGCTGTGCAGGAGCCTCAGGACCGCTGTTTGGTCTGGGAAGAAAGGAACACGCTTTCTCCCTGGTTATGGTGGGAGTTGCTAGGATGAAAGTAAATGTGTCAAGTCATTTCCCTCATTGCTCTTTGTTTCTCAGTACCCTCCAGGAGGGAGATTTAGAAAAGAAGATAAAACAGCACATCCACCAAATGCATGAGCGAAGATTCCATGGCCCAGCCCCGCTGGAGGAGATGAGGAAGGCTGCCGAGGATCTGGAAATTGTAAGGATTTCTTGGTTCTGTTTAAAAATTGTGGGGTTTTTGTTTTGTTTTGTTTGTTTTTTATTTTTTTGAGATGGAGTCTTGTTCTGTCACCCAGGCTGGAGTGCGGTGGCACAATCTCAGCTCACTGCAGCCTCCGCCTCCCAGGTTCAAGAGATTCTCCTGCCTCAGCCTCCTGAGTAGCTGGGATTACGAGTGTATGTACACCACCACACCAGGCTAATTTTTGTATTTTTAATAGAGATGGGGCTTTGCTATGGTGGCCAGCCTTGTCTCGTACTCCTGGCCTCAAGTGATCCACCTGCCTTGGTCTCCCAAAGTGCTGGGCCACTGTGCCCAGCCTAAAACATTGTTTTGTTAAAAATGAAGGGAACTCATTTTGCCTCTTCAGAGCATGCGCTCTCTAAAACCATGGGACTGTGTGGAATGTGTCTTATCAGGGTATGAAAATTCCCAGAATTACAGTTGGTCACGTGAGAAGGAAAACATTTCAGCTGAGGGGCTGAGCCCTCAAATGTGCCAGGCCACATGGCAGACGGACCTTGGCATCTCAGCACTGGGCATCTGATGACATGAGTGGTGGCCTGCTGACAGGGACCAGGAACCCGTCCTCTGCACATGTCTGTGGGGTCCTTGCTGGAGGCTTTGCACCCAGCTGAACCAGGCTCTGGGCCCAGGGCTGGGCCATGAGGGGTGCCACTGCAGAGAGGGGCCTGGCTGAGGCCACCTGGACCATGGCTGACACGCTCAGTGTCTATGTCAGGAGGCCAATATTCATGGGGATCCAAGGCCTCCTGACCAGGAGCCTGCTGACCAGAACTGCTCACAGAAGTGTCTCCTGTACGTTTAGAATGTTAACATCCTCTCAGCCACTGTCAATGGTGTTTATTGACTCAGCATACGCTGAGGCCCACTTCCTGGTACTTGGAGTGTCCTGGGCCATGGAAGACACACAGGAATGAAGGAAAGTGCTTTGCTGCCCGAATTGCTGCATGGCCAGCCCAGCCAGCTATAGAAGGACACAGCTGCCCTCCCTGGCAGTGAACCTGGATACCCGTGTCCCCACCCTTCTTACAGCCATAAGAACACTGGCCTGTCTTCTCGGGCTACCCAAGGCCCCTGGCTGGTGGCGTCTTTCAGGTCAGTGTACCATGCCCGAACACAGGTCAGGCTGGTGCGGGCTGCATCCGGGCTGCCCCCAAAGCAAGCAGCACTGTCACGGGGGAGGAAGCAGCCCTGGCCTTCCTGTCCCCACACCCCATCTGCAGGCTCCATTCTCACCATTTCCACTGTTTCCCTCTCTCCTAGAGCCAGAGATGGGAGAAACGAGATGTGAGGGCAGGATGTGGAGCCACTTCGTGGAGACCCCACCCAGCCTGACCCGGACCCCTCTTCTGAGACTCTTTTCCTCTCAGCCCAGGGAGTTCGTATCTGCCTTTAGATAAACTCTTATTCTCTCTGAATCTGTCGTTTATGAGTATGACCTTGTCCTTGGACACCCAAACCTTGCCTCTTAGGGCTTCAGAACATCTGTGTCTCAACCCATCACTTCACGTTATGGACACAAAAGTCGATTTGGTATTATGAACAACTCTAGCCACAGATTTGTTACATTTAGTGAAATAGATGAATCCCTTGAAAGACAACGTCTGCCAAAACTTACAGAAGAAATAAACAATTTGAATATGCTTGTATCATTTACAGGAATTTAATCAATAATTAATTACCTTCCAAAACAGAAATCACAGGCCCAGATGGGTTCACTGGTGAATTCTATCAGACATTTAAGGTTTAAGGAAGAAACTATACCAATTCTGTATAATCTCTTCCAGAAGATAGAAACAGAGAGAAAACATTTTAACTCATTCTCTGAGGCCAGCACTACTCTAATACCAAAACCATACAAAGATATTACAAGAAAGGAAAACTATAGACCGGTATCACTCATGAACATAGATGCAAAAATTATCAACATTCAGAAATCAAATCCAGCAATATATAAAAGCAATCACACACCCTAGTCCAACATTCAAAAATCAGTTAATGCAATTCATCACATCAGTAAGCTAAACAAGAAAAATCAGGTGGTTTTATCAATAGATGCAGAAAAAGCATCTGACAAAATATAACACCTATCATGATGAAAACTCTCAGCAAACTAGGATAAGCTGGGAACTTCCTCAACTTGTTAAAGAACATCCAGAAAAGACCCACAGCTAACATTATTCTTAATGGCGAGAAACTAGAAGCTTTTCCACTAAGATCAGGAGCAAGGCAAATGTATTCCCTCTCACTACTGCTTTTCAGTCTCATGCTGGAATTCTTAGCTAGTTCAAGAAGACAAGGCCGGGTGCGGTGGCTCAAGCCTGTAATCCCAGCACTTTGGGAGGCCAAGACAGGCGGATCACGAGGTCAGGAGATCGAGACCACCCTGGCTAACACGGTAAAACCCCCGTCTCTACTAAAAAATACAAAAAACTAGCTGGGCAAGGTGGCGGGCGCCTGTAGTCCCAGCTACTCAAGAGGCTGAGGCAGGAGAATGGCGTAAACCCGGGAAGCAGAGCTTGCAGTGAGCTGAGATCCGGCCACTGCACTCCAGCCTGGGCGACAGAGTGAGACTCCATCTCAAAAAAAAAAAAAAAAAAAAAGACAAGAGAAGGAAATAAAAGGTATACAGACTGGGAAACAAGAAATAAAACTGTCTTTGTTCTCAGATGACATGATTATATATGGAGGAAATCCCAAAGAATTGACAAAAATTTCCTGGAACTAATAAGTGATTATAGAAAAGGTTACAGGATACAAGGTTAATATACATAAGTCAGTCACCTTCCTATGAACCAGCAATTAACAAGTGGAATTTAAGATTAAAAATGTAACATTTAAATTAGCACCAAAAAAAGGTACTAAGTAAAAAAATCTAACAAAATGTATACAAAATCTATATGAGGAAAAGTACAAAACATTAATGAAATAAATAACTAAATAAATGGACAGATAGTCCATGTTCATGGACAGGAAGACTCAGTATTGTTGGTAGAGTCAGTTCTTCCCAACTTTAGGTTTCATATGCGTTCCCAATCATCATCTCAGCAAATTGTTTTGTGAATATTGACAAACTGTTTCTAAAGCATAGATGGAGAGGATGAGACGTAGAATATCCAACACAGTACTGATGGAAAAGCAAGTCAGAGGACTGACACCCTCCCACTTGAAGACTCTAGAGCTACAATAGCAGTGTGATATTGTCCAAAGAATAGACAAATAGAATAGAGAGCCCCAAAATAGACCCACACAAATATAGTTAACTGATTTGACAGAAGAACAAAAGCAACTCAGTGGAGAAAGCATATCTTCAACAGATGGTACTGGAACAACTGCCAAAAACAAAAAAGAATCTAGACATAGACCTCACACCCTTCACAAAAATTAATTCAAAATGGATCATAGACCTAAACGTAAAATGTGTTACTGTACAACTTTTACAAGATAACATAGGAGAAAACCTAAGTGACCTTGGGTATGGTGATGATGTTTAAATACAACACCAAAGCAAGATCCGTGACAGAAATAATTGATACGCCGGGTTTCATTAAAATCAAAAACTTCTGTTCTATGTAAGACACTGCCAAGAGGATAAGACAGGCCACAGACTGGGAGACAATATTTGGAAAAGATACACCCGATAGAGGACTGTTATCTAAAATATACCGAGAACTCTGAAAAACTCAACAAAAAGGAGCAAACAAGCCAATTAAAAAATGGGCCAAGAATCTGTAGAGACACCTCATCAAAGAAGATGCATGGATGGCAGATCAGCATGTGAAAAGAAGCTTCACGTTGTGTGTCATCAGAAATGCAAGTTAAGACAAGGAGATTCACCACACAAAAAATCCAAAACACTCACCACCAAATGCTGGTGAGGATGTGGAGCAACAGGAATGCTCATTAATTGCTGGGAATATAAAATGGTACATCCACTTTGGAAGACAGTTTGACAGTTTCTTACAAAATAAATCACACTCTCATCTTACAATCCAGTAATCACACTCCTTGGTGTTTACCCAAAGGAAATGAAAACTTACGTCTACACCAAAACCTGCACATAGAGAGAGCAGCTTTTTTCATAATTGCCAAAACTTGGAGGCACCCAAGATGTCCTTCCGCAGGTGACTGGATAAACTGGAACATCCAGACAGCGGAACATTGCTTAGCACTGGAGGGAAACGAGCCACCAGCAATGAGAAGACACAGGGGAGCCGACACGCCAGCATGAAAAGGCTGTACACAGATGGAGATGGTGAAGGGATCGTGGTGACCGGGTGGGGGTAGTAGGATACTGAGGGGTGAATCAGCAGAACATAAAGGGTTTTAGGGCAGTAAAACTACTCTCCGTGATGCTGTATTGTTGGATCCACGTGGTGATGCATCTGTCTAAGCCCCACGGACTGTGTCACCCCACACGTGAGCCCGCGTGTCGACTCTGGACTCTGGGTGGTGGAAACTATGTCCATGTGCGTGCATCAGGTGTACCACTCCGGTGTGGGATGAAGGCTGCTCTAAAAAAATCAAGTCCTGGTTTTTTAAAGTCTGCTTGGAAATCTGAAACCTGAGAGCTGGCTCTTGTGTCCCCCACGGTTCTCCTGTGCTCCCCTGCCCTGGTTACACGCAGAGGAGGGGGGCCGTGAGGCAAAAGAGAATGAGCCAGAAGGACACTGTGGCAGTTGATCTCAAATGCCTACCCCAGGCCACGCCTGTCTCTTCATTGACTTTCATGCCACCTTAGGAGGAAGGCACTGCCACCCATTTCACAGGTCAGAAAATAAGACTCACAGAAGTGCCGTAACTGGCCCCACGGTGACACTGTGAATGGTGGAGCCTTCCATCCAACCTGGGTGTGTCTGAATGCAAAGCCAAGGTCCAAATGCTGCACTGTCTTCTTGGGGACATGAATTGCCACAAATTCACGTTGTGCTTTAATACTTGTCTCGTGTTTTTCTGTGATTAAAAAAAATTCGGCCGGGCGCGGTGGCTCAAGCCTGTAATCCCAGCACTTTGGGAGGCCGAGACGGGTGGATCACCAGGTCAGGAGTTTGAGACCAGCCTGGCTAACACGGTGAAACCCCGTCTCTACTAAAAAATACAAAAAACTAGCCGGGCGAGGTAGCGGGCGCCTGTAGTCCCAGCTACTCAGGAGGCTGAGGCAGGAGAATGGCGTAAACCCAGGAGGCGGAGCTTGCAGTGAGCTGAGATCCGGCCACTGCACTCCAGCCTGGGCGACAGAGCGAGACTCCGTCTCAAAAAAAAAAAAAAAAAAAAATTCACGTGAAGTTCTTGATGAAGGGTTCAGGTCACCAGCACCGGCTCCTGTCATGTGCCAACTCCAAGTTACTGCCAAGACGCAGGGAGGGATGTGCTGTGTCACCCTGCCCAGGAGACAGGGACATGAACACCCGCTAACTTTCCATGACAGGCTCCTGCAGCGCTTGAGCCCTGGGGATGCCCATGGGGCGGTTCCCTTCGTTTCAGTCCTGGCTGGGAGAGCCAGAGGAAGGGGTTTTAAAACTCCCAAGAATGAGTTGGGAAGCAGCTGATCCTAGCCCTGGAGGTGAACTGTGTTGAGACAGGTGGTGTTGGCTGTCCATAAGCTCCAGCCATCCTTCTCCTCTGTCCCACTGCCTCTCACAGAGGACCAGGTGGGTGGGCAGGGCAAGGGAGAAGGGACCCTCTGAGACAGTCCAGAACAGTGTGGCAGGCGTCTGTGCCACCTGATGGCCTCATTTTTAGGAAACAATCTTAATTATAGTTTTTTCTGAAATTTGCCTTCTGAGCACCTGGATCTCCTGTAGGCTCAGTCCATTTCAAATGACCCTCCCTTTTTCTGCTGTCTACACAGGCCCACTAGCAAAAAAGAAAGTGCTGTGTTCTTTAGACTCAGTAGGGAACCTATTTGTATAATCCTGGCGAGAGGATCATGCTGGCCCTCCCTGCAGGTGAAGCCTCGGGCTTTGCCGGAAGAGTGTGACTTTCCTTAGAGCTGGGGCCCCCAGGCAGGGCCTGAGCAAACCCTGCAGCAGCATTAGAGACCAGTCCTGGCTCTGTGGCTGTGCAGCCCGCCAGCCTGTATGGAGGCGGGCACGCACGTGCCTGAGACAGTTGGCATGTTCCAGGCAGACAACCATCTAAGTTCACACTACGCCTCTAGAAGCAGAGAGTCTCGTTCTGCCGGCTTCTTCCCCGGCCCCTCGTGTTTCCTTCAAGGCCTCTGCGCAGTGCCGTGCATGGCGTAGCGCTAGTGAGGAGTCCTCGGTGACGTGGCGTGCGTCGGGAGCACCCCCCACCACCCCGTGCGCCCTGGAGCCTGGCCTGTGGGAGAAGGGGATGCCAAATGGGGGAAGTAGGCGGGGCTGGAGTCCAGCCCATGAGCCAGGAGCTTGCGTTTGATTAGAGGGCCAGGATGGACGGGTCAGGGGAGAGAGAGAAGAAAGCCTAGAGGGATGAAAAAGAGATGCTGAAAACAAACCAGCCAACAGACGTGGCCCTTGCAGGTCAACACGGCCCATTCTGCACATAGATTTGTCTCCACTCTGCCCAGAAGCCACCAGAATGACAGGAGAGGGAGCAAAAACGACCTTCGCTCCTCAGGACGAGAAAACGGAGAGGAGCCTGCCCTCTTGTCAGGA